ACGGAGACTTGCCACGGTCTCGAACCCTCCTCCTTTCTCATCCGGGCTTGGGACCGGCCATGGCGGAGTTACGGGACCTTATGGAAATCCTAAACCTCTGATGGTAAATGGAATCGTGATGAGACATATCTGTGATTCCAGGAGCCATTCGTAATACCGAAGCAGATGTTTGACTGATAGTTTGTTGGAAATGCGTCGTCCGTTCTTCCGTTGCTCGTTCGTGTTGTCCATTACATAAATACACATAGACGTAAATGAAGGATTTGACATTGTTTTTTTCAACTGTTGCCTTGAGTAATGGTTCGAAAAGTGCAGATCATTGATAGTCATTATTATTAGCATTGTTCGCGCCCATTTTGAACATTCATTAATGTATCTTTTGATGCGGGGAATGAACTGATCTTGAGCGTGAGAAGGCCATATTTCATGTGAAACCTGCTTGTTGTTAAGGCACTTATGAAATTAAAGTGACTTCCAGGGCCAGATGTTTGCAAAGAGGCCACTACAGACCATAATTTTATTCATTTTGCGCGTTTTCTGGTGGTTTCCAACATATTTGGAGTTTTTTTCATAAACTTGGACATTACCTCTGAAGCCTTGTTGCTTACGGAGTTAACACATATCAGATCTTGCAGAGTCTTTGTTTTTGCAGCCGGCGTTTTATTATCTAATGCACCTCTTGCTTTTCAGAAAAGAAGCAGCAGCTCGCGAAGAGCGTGGAAGATTTTTCGAAGAAGGTGGAAGTATTGACGACGTTGAACGAACAGAATTCACGAAAAATCGACGAACTGAAGGTACTGAGATGAATACGCTTGGCTGTTTCTTTTGTTTCTTAATATTTATTTTCTTCGCTTCTGTACGTTTGGTGTAAAGTATGCTTTGACCGACTCATACAGCGTTGGTAGTTCAAATTATATAACTGTTTGCTTAGCGTTTTTAATTTTTTAATTCATGGGCAAAACTTTGATTTAGAGCGAAATTCAGCAAAAGGAGCACACAATTCAAAATTTCTTGCGCGAGAGGGAACAGTTGACTACGCAGAGTCATCACTCCGAGGAACTGGCTAAAAAGCGTAAGCGCTTTAATCATAGCTCCGTTATTATTGTTTTTAACGCAACATTATTTAATTTCTTAAGTTTTAATTTAAAAAAATTATTTTTATCGGGTGAACGCATCATGTTAATCAGGCTTTAGTGAACGAAGAGGAAAGCAAAATTCTAGATTACGAGAAGAAACTGGCTGAATTGAAAAATTCCTTAGAAAGCAAATTGGACAAGTAGGACCGATGTCTATAATTGTATTTTTTGCACATCTACGA